TCCTGCTGAGTTTGTGAGAGTGACAGGCTGCATCACTAAGGGTGAAGCTGCACAAAGAATGCTGAAGGCATCTAGGAAGAAAGCAGAGGTGTCTGGGCTGCTGTTTCTGTGTACTTCTGGGTTGGATTGGCCCCATTTCACGGCACGGCCAGCTGCAATGTAGGCAAGCTCTTGTCTGGGAGGAAAGCTGGTCCTGGGCCACAACTGTCCTTGGACAGACAGGGATCGGTCAGTGCTGGCACACAAACCTCAGCCTGTGCTGGCAATCATCAGCCCTGGGGCACAAATCTAGAAGCATGTCTTGTGTTCCAAAATGCTGCTTAGAGTGGAACTTCCCGTTTCAGGATTGCTGGCGGGTTAGCTTTGAATCTGCTCCAGGCATAGAGGAAATCCACTGTGCATGCAGAGCTTTTGCTGGGCAGATTGCTAGAAAGCTGGAGATCTCTGCAGGAAGCGCGGTGCCAGCTATTTCTGCGTCTGCTGCACGCCACTGTTCTGCTTTCTAATATTTTCTGGAGCACAGGGGCTTTGCTGCCTGAGATTCATTTTGTTGATTTACTGGTAAATAACTCATCCTGTGATGCTTGCAGCTCATCTTTACTCTGGCTTCAGTTCTCTTTGGGGTTGCAAATCTCTGTCTCCAGGTTATATCTGACTGAGGACAGCCAGCATCTCAGTGCTCTTCTGTCTGGCCTCCTCCCAAAGCCTTTGTTTAGTCCATTCCCTGCAGGGATCACCTTCCTCGGATGGGCTGGGGGAAGAAAGAGGGGGCTTCTCTCTTGCCCACCTTCCTAACAACAGCTGGGGGGTGGCTGCAGCGTCCCAGAGCCCCTCTTGGGGTCTGCAGGAACATATTTTGGGAGAGAACAGGATGTAGTGCCTCATTTAAACTTGCAAGTGTTTCTTTTCTTGCTTCTGGGATAGTACTAGCCTGGTCTGTGTGGTGAAGGCTCATTTGTGGCATGGGCTCTGATGGACTTTTCGAAGGGATGGTTGGACCAGACTTAACCAGGGAAGAAAGGAGTGGTAGCTGTTGAGCAAAAAGGGGAGGCTCTGAGAGATGATGTGCTAATGAGCTCTCACCTGGGATGGTAGGTGAAACATAAACAATGATTAATGCTAATGCTAATGAGTTTGGTCTCTGCTTGCTATCCTGCAGAGCTGCCATCCTGATTACACAGCTTTGTGCAAAGCACTAAGGTCTGCTGGCACAGAAGCCAGCCACAGCTGGCCAAAGCCAGGACAGCCTCCTCTTCAAAGTCTAAAGAAGGGATGTGCACTGAAGGTGGAGGGGGCAGGGAGTGGGCAGCATGGCTTAGCGCAGTCTCTCTGCCTCCCCCAGATGATCCAGTTTGTATCTTCAAGCATCAGCCTCAGCCACCACATTCAGTGCTGAAGTTTCTGCAGGACATCTTTGCCAGCAAGGATACAGCCAGCATCTTCTACCATACGGACATGATGGTCCTGATAGACATCCTGGTGCGGCAGATTGCTGATCTCTCTCCAGGAGACAAGGTGCTCACATTAACCCATTGGGAAAGGGAGTCCCAAAGCAATGGTGTTTCTCCTGGCCCTCCATGGGGCCTGCAGGTGCAGGCAAGAGTGGAGTCCTGAGGCAGACATGACCTTTCTGGGTGCTCAAATCAACCTTGGGGGCTGAGAAGGAAAGGGGGGTTTATCTTACCTATCACGTGGCAGTAGAAATATGTATTTGGAAAAAGATCTACCAGGCTTCTGGTGGCCTGCACCCTTCTGTCCAGGGACCTCTGTGAGTAGCAGAAGGAGAAGGGAACTCTCTGTTTTGGAGTTGCAGGAGGCAGGGGTTGCGCACATGTTTGAGAGCAGGTGAAGAGCAGCACTGGGTTGCTGTGGGAAAAGCAGAGTTTTCCATCGCTACTAATGAGCCTAAGGAAAAGCAGGTGCCTCTGGAGTGGCTCTCTGGCTGGTGGTGCAGCGGCAGCTGTTCCTGCACTAATGCTCTAATGGAGACTGGCATGCTTGTTTATCTCACTTTAAATCTTTTCATTGTGCTCTGTGTTTTGTCTCCCCTCCCACTTGGCAGCTGAGGATGGAGTATCTCTCTCTGATGCACGCCATCATCCGCTCCACGCCCTATCTGCAGCACCAGCATCGCCTCTCTGACCTGCAGGGCATCTTGCAGCGCATCCTGGGTGAGGAGGAGGAGGGACAGCAGTGCCAGATGGACAAACTGATCATCTTGGAGATTTATAAGGAGTTCCCAGAAATCTCTCCAAGTACCAGCTAACCACCCCTGGGCTTGGACTGGTTTGAACCACTTGGATTGACGGCGTCTATTGTTGACATTTTCTCCCCATTCCCTTCCAGTACAGCTCATACCTTATATCCCTCCATGCGGGGCCTAAGGTTGGGACAGTGTTCACCCGCCCTTTAGAAACACCAGCGGCAGAAAGGGCACAGGGTGCTCCTGGGGCCTGGTGCTCGGTGCAGGTTGGAGCGGGATGGGTGCCGGCATGTGGTTTGCCTGCAAGACTCGGGCAGGAGGTGTTTGGGCAGCTGGTGTTAGTGGGAAGGGCAGAGAGCTTGTGAGGGTCTTCAGTAGCCGGGGCAGGGGGTTGTTTAGCTGTGCTGGTGTCCTGAGGTCCCGAAGAGAAAGGCCTTTGCCTTAGAGTATCACTTCTTTTCCATGTGCATCTCTCTCCCTGCAGTGACCAAGTGGAGTCCGCTGGTGCTTGGAAGAAGCTTTCGTAACATCTGTTTTGTTTTCTGCTGCTAGTGCCAATGTGCTGCAGCCCTGCCAAGGGGGGTAGCTCGCTCGCTGTCTAACGCCTCGTCTAGTGAGCCTCCTGGCCCTCAGCTTTGCCTCTGAGTAGCAGCCCACCTAGGGTCATAGAGGTCTTATGCCAGCAGCTGCTTTTTTCAATCTGCTTTCTATAGTGACGTTTAAATCTGAATTTCTTGTGCACTGTGGCAGCCTAGAAGTAACGACCACGTGGGTGACACTGCCCTTAGGAAGCCTTTGGCCCACTCACGGCGCAAAGACGTGTCCTGCCAAGTGAAAGCTGCCGCTTGCCACCTCTCTTCGCAGTGTCACCCCCGGGCCCCAAGCAGAGGGGCTGCGCCTGGGCAGGCGCGCTCTATTCGTGAAGCGTGTGGATCTCTTGCCTTGAGCTTCATAGTAGCTCTGCCTTGCTGCCCTCCCTCTCCACAGGGCAGCGCTCAGAGGCAGCGTGAGCCTGGTGTCCAGTAGCTGTTTGTGACTATGCACGAGTGTGGGGAACCCTTATTTATATTTCCTCTAGGTTTCTAGCAAATGGGATTAACCTATTTCACTGTTACAGATAGTCACACTCACTAACATGGGTCTCTTAGATATTTGTGTGCGCGGTCTGGTCCCTGGCCCCAGCTCTTCCTTTGCAGTATCCAGTGTAGGAGCTATTGGAAAGTGGAAGTACTGGGCACTGTATATTTTTTTTATTTTTTTTTTTAGTTTGAGGCGATGGCATGAGCTCTGCTCTGCAGGCCTGGGCTGTGGGCGCTGGGGCAGCAATGCTCAGGAATGGAGGGGGTTGGCCTGGCAGCCAAGGGAGGCGAGGACCTCCTGAAGTCAGCCTGGGAATGCCCAAGCTTGATAACCACCCTCGTAGAGAAACCTATTTTTCCCCTGTAAAAATGTATCAATGTCAAAAGGGATCCTGTATTTTCTTAAACACTAAGTGTAACATGCAGAGGAATAAAAATGTCTTAAACTGGACTTCTGTGACTGTAGCCCTGCCTGCCCCGTCCTGTTGTGGGGTGGACCGGGGTGCTGGAGGTGGCTCGGGTGTGTGCTGCCAGCTAAGGGAAAGCAGTGGGTGCGAAGCAATGCAGTAGCTTTTCCGCACTTGGCTTCTTGCACTGTGTTTTCCTGCCACGTCACTGGGAGATAAGCAGTGGTGGAGGGCAGCAGCCCTTGCTAGGGGTGCAGCCATCACCCCTGTGAGCCCGCCAGCACCACTGCTCTGGATTAAGGGCATGGCAGAGCTGGACTCAGCAGTTTGCTTCCTGAAAGGCTGCCAGTGGAGCAGGCTCGGGGCAAACCCACTGCCCAGCAGAAGCCCAGAAGCAGGCTGCATCTGTGTTAGCCAGGAGCACAGCCTGGGCACAGAGCTTTCTGTGGTGGTGTCCTGCCTGCCACAGGGGGCTGGCAGAGCCCTGGCTGGGCTGAGCCTGAACAGGCAGACCTGGTGGCTCTGCTCAGCATCCCTGAGCCATCACTGACCCTGGCACTGCTCACCCCTTCCACACCGCTGCCACGCTGTCATCACAGCCGGGGCTGGAAGGGCTGGGAGTCAGCCTGCTGCTGGGTGGGTCCCGGGGGAGATCTGCACCCGCTGCCCAGGAAAGGCCTTCGCCATCACAGGGAATCAAACTGCAGCGTGTAAACTCATTATCCCCGAGCCTGCTCAGCGGTTCCTGCTCGGCACGCGGGTGACAGGCACAGATAACGCGCGTTTCCATTAGCAGTAATAGGCTGCTATTAGAGTGGTATCTCCTCGTATCAGTGTGTTTTTATTGCGGCGCAGCAGTGAGGGGTGTTGGGGGGGTGGCGCGGGGGGAGCAATGCACTGCCTGTGACCTGCGCCTCTGCTTTATTGTCTGGAATGATTCAATTACAACTATTTTGTGGCAGTAATACCCCGATGATTTTCTCCCCCTCCCCTGAGCTGTCAGCCGGGTAATTAGAACAAGTAAACTTGAAAGCCTTCATAATTTTTTAAAAGTATTGCCTCTCTCCTGATTGGGTTTCTTGATGGCAAATCCCCAGTTTGGGGAGGTGCGATGTATAATCCAGCCGGCGGCGGGGGCTTGTGCAAAGCTGGTGCCTTCCTGTCACACGTGGGGTCTGTCCTGCACTCAATTAGATGAGGTTTCTTGGGTGAGCTGTGTGCAGGGCCAGGGCTGCTCTGGTATTAGCCTGACAGGGCTGGGAAGGATCGGGTGGAGGACTGGAGGGGGAGAACGTAAATCCCCCTGGCACGCACACGGCTTGCGTGCCTGCAGCCCAGTCAGTGCTGATGTTGGACCAGCCAAGCTGGAGGCGTTTTGTGGTGGCTGAGGAGTTGATCGGGGCACATTACCTGCGTTCAGGAATTCTGCAGAGTTTATAAATTAACATACCAGCTTCTCAGATATCCACACCCACCACCATCCCTCAGTACGGCATAAGCACCCTGGGAACTTCTCCCCAGCACATCCCAAGCCGAGCGAGCTGCCACTGTAGGACCTGCTTGGCATTTCTCACGGTGGTCCTGAAACACTGATCAACTCAGGCACTGGGGCAAGGACAAGCTCTGCCTGCTCTTTCCCCTCTGCAGCTGTCCAGATGGTGGCCAGGCCTTGGCTTCTGTGTGGGTGACAGTACTGGAAGGGAGCCACTGGCTATGAGGATGGTGCAGGGTGGTTTGGGGACCTGCTGGGCGTGTTGCAGACCCTGCTGTGTGCTTGCTTAGTTTCTACCCTAAGAGTGGGTGCCTGCTTGCAGTCAAACCCCAAATCAGCGGGCAGCATGCACTCTTGCCACCCACCCTCTTGTTTACACTAACAGTAATTGATAGGGGACCATCTGTCCCCATTGGTGAAACCAAAGCCACATGAGAGCCAGTGGTGGTCACAGTTGGTGGGGAGCATCGGGCAGAGGCAAAGCGATGGTGATTCCAGGATTCAGCACTGCAGCTGGTGCAGAGGGCAGCGCCACAGCAGTGGCAGCTGGACCCCCTCGACGTCCCCATTTCCTGTGCCCAGGGGTCAGCGCATCTCCTCTGACCTCCTCCTTGCTGTGCGGATGGCCTGCGCCGGCCCAAGCAGC